TGGGAGACGCCGCGTGACCCTTCCCAGTGAGCATGGCTGAGAAGCTACCACCACAGCCTTGCAAGGCGAGGACGGCCATAGCGGAGCTCTATTCCAGGCACTGGGCCCTCCTGGAAATCCTTCCACAGTGACAATCCACACTCCTTCATACAGAAGGGGAAACTGAGGCATGGGACGTAAAATGCACATCTGGTTGGGACTAGAGGCAGGATGGTAGCCTGAGCTGTCTAGCCAGTCTGCCTGCCCAGCGGTCCCCGCACGCTCTCTACGCACTGTCCTGTCTGGCCGGGATGCCTGCACAGTGGTCCCCGTGCTCCCCACCCACTGTCCTGTCTGGCCGGGATGCCTGCCCAGCAGTCCCCACGCGCTCCACGCACTGCCCTGTCTGGCCGGGCTGCCTGCCCAGTGGTCCCCGCGCTCTCCACGCACTGTCCTGTCTGGCGGGATGCCTGCACAGCGGTCCCCACGTGTTCTCCATGCACTGTCCTGTCTGGCCGGGCTGCCTGCCCAGTGGTCCCCGCGCTCTCCACGCACTGTCCTGTCTGGCGGGATGCCTGCACAGCGGTCCCCACGTGTTCTCCATGCACTGTCCTGTCTGGCCGGGCTGCCTGCCCAGTGGTCCCCGCGCTCTCCACGCACTGTCCTGTCTGGCGGGGCTGCCTGCCCAGTGGTCCCCGCGCAGTGTCCTGCCATTACACCCAGGTCTCCGCACTCCTCCAGCCAGGCCCAGTGTTTAGAACATGTGTTTGGCAAAGTGCTGACACCAGGTAAATCTGTGAGATTACCAATAGACAGGAGGGCAGAGGCTGGAACACCGCACTGCACTGCCTTCGCGTGAGCAAGAACAGACCACACCGTGGCCCGGCCACCGGGGCCCAGCCGGTCCCTGCCACAGCGCCCACAGCCACGGCCACCCAGAGGCTCCAGATCCCTTTGTGGCTTCGCCCCTGCCAACAGGGGTGGGCATGGCAAGGAAGGAAATGTGGCCTCATCACCAGCTCCCCAAACACACCAGGCCCTACATGTGAGAGCTCCCTGGTACAGCTATGTAAGTACACACATCTGTGTGCATGCATGCTCATACATGAGTGTATGCCCACAGACACACACATGGACATGTGGATCACATGCAGACATGAACATTCCATGCACAGAGGCACACACGCATACAAGTACGACCCCAGAGCTGGCTCGTAAAGCATGTTCGTGTGTGCTGCTTCCCGTGACCCGTCTAGCAATGCCATGGGATGACACGAGAAAGTGCACTCACGATGCAGCTGTGAAGAGGGGGTGACTGGCAGAGCCCTGGGGTGATACCTTGTACACAGACACACCAACTTCTACTGCGCCTGAGTCCTTCGTTCAGACAGGACTGTGGGAACACCACTTCTCTTTTTGGAAAAATACCTCCCAAAGTGGGCATTATGGCAACGCCCTCCACCTATTGGTGCTCGCTTCCCTGCAGGCATTCCCCTGAGGCCATCTGTGCCAGCCCGGTCAGTGGTCAGAGCCCCCCGAAGTGAGAGATGCGAGTCTCCCCATTCTCTGAGGTGAAACTCGGGCGCTCTGACTTGACCCAGTCCAGCCAAGCCCAGGGCCCCTCAGAGGCAGAGAAATGCAGTCCACACAGTGGGCTGTCAGCCACCTGTGCTCCCTGGCACTCGGCAGCTGATTACCAAGGAAGGTCCCCTCCCAGGTCCCCTTGCCTGTCACCCAGCACAGGTACCCAGAGGCCCAGCAGCCCAAGCCACAGAGAGTCAATCCTGACCTGCAGACTACTCGTGCACGGCCTGACCGGAGGCGAGGAGGCGCAGGGCAGAGAAAGGGCTGGAGCTTCCAGATCTGCCGCACCCCTGTCCCCAGGGCACTTACACTCGGGTGGAGCAGCCCAGATAAACAGGCTGGAGGCACAGCCAACTTGCTGATGAGGGAATTTGCAACCCCTGGGAACCCTGGGTCAGAGCTCAGAATATCCCTCAGGAAAGAGGGAATAGGGAAGAGTAAATCAGGGTGGGGAGGACCCACGGAGGGCTTCTGTAATAAAAGGAGAGGGAAGAGGAGGGAGGGCCCCATCTGCGGTCACCTCCTCCTGGAAGCTGTCCCAGCCTCCGGGCCAGAGCCAGACCCTCTAGACCTCGGCCTGCCCCCGGTGGTGGAGTGAGGCGTGTCAGCTCATCAGCTGGGGCTCCTCCAAGGAGGAGGGGTCCTGCCTCATCCACATTTGTCCCCCTGTAGTGCTGGGCTGGGGGTGCAGAGGCAAAGCCTGGGCGGGCCAGGCAGTGGGAGCTGATGTGTGAAGGATTGGGGTAGAGGAAGCTGGGGCAGGCTGGATCTCTGGATGGTGCTGGAAGAAAAAGAGCTCACAGAGGGAGAGAGGAGGGAGATGGGAAGGGGGAGGGCGGCGGCGGCCAATGGACACCCGCCAGCACTGGCCTGGCCCAGGGTGGTTGACAGACCCATCCAAGTGAAAGGAGAAGTCCGAGTGACCGGCCTGGCGGGCTACAGGGTGGCCTCTGACTGAGGACCCAGACGCGGGAGTCAGACAGGCAGTCAGGGGTCCTATCTGCTGCCGTCCCTGTTGTGAAGTCGGGGGTCCCTACAGCCCGGCTCCACCCAGTAAGTCTACCCAGGAAGAGGGGCCAGGCAGTCCAGGAGGAGGCAGGCGGGCAGGATCGCTGTGCTAGCTGGGCGGGGCTGTGGGACTCTCGAACTATCTGAAGGGTGGGGCAGAGGGGCAGGCTCTGGCCAGCCCCCAGGAACAGCCTTGGAGCGACACCATCAGACAGCAGATCTAAGCCTGGTACCAGGGCGACGCCCTGCCAGGGCCACTGCCACCGGGTCCCTGCTGACCTCCATCTGGAGCAGGACTGCACGCAGGGCTCCACTTCGGAACTTACTTGGCTTCGTGACTCCTCCCACTGATCGCTCTTTGGGGGGTGGAAAGGATGCCTTTCCAGCCAACTCGATTGAGTCAGAGGAAATTTAACCATTTAATATCTGTCAAGTCTCACAAAACTTGGCCACTCTCCTCACAAATTACTGCAAAAAGCAATCACGTGACCTGAGTCGGCCAATGGTGTGCCAAGGAGATGACCTCAATTTCTAAGTATTGGGGTCATGTTTCATTTCCCATCCTCTCCTGCCCGTTACAAAGTTAAACGGCCCCAAATGCGATCTTGCTTTTCATTCCTTCACACACTTGGCCAAGACGGTCAAAAAAGAGCTGTGTTCGAGAAAACTCGGGAACATCTGGCAGATGCGGAGAAGAGAAGAGAAAGGCGCTGGGGATGGCTCCCTGGGCTCCCCGCAAGGAAGCGGCCTCCCTCACCCCTGCCACGTGCTGGGGATGACTTCAAAATGTGTCCCACCCTACGAGGTGGGGAGAGCTTTGCAAAACCCACCCTGAAGCTGGCCCTTCACAGCGCCCACCAATCTGTCCCAACAAAAGCAAATAGTCCAACCCCACACCACAACCCAGGCAGCTCCCGGGCCTTCCCCGCCCCAGGACCCCACTACCCAGGGGCCGCACCTCAAGTAAGCAGAGAGCAGAGAGAGCCCCAGTGATGGGGGAGGCGGGCAGGGGGGACCGGGGAAACAGCAGGGTCAGAGCAGCAAGACCCTGCCTTCTGGGGTGCCGGTTCCCCTGAAGGCCACCCTCCAGACCCCCACAGCAGAGCTGAGCCAGGGCCAAGTTCCTGGGCAAGGGCAGGGTCCACCCCTCTTCACACAGCTTCGCTGGGGGCCTCTGCTGTCCCCCACTGCTAACTGGCCCTGGAGAAATGCAAGGCCAGGTACTGAGTCACAGGAGAGCTGGTGGCAGTCAGGGAGATGAACCCAGGTCTGGGAACTGGGCCAGGGCGCTCGCTCCTCCCCCAGCGCCCCGCGCAGCCCCACGCCCTGGCTCCTGCTCACCCAGTGTAGCCCCCTAGCACTGACCATGCCAGGAAAAGGGGAATGAGCATTGAAACTGGCAGACAGAGCATGGGAACGGGGTCTTCTCACTCACACCAGCACTGCAGACCTCCCCGGACCACAGTCCGCCCTCAGCTGCTGGCCACACAGCCTTCATCGCTCCACTGCTCGGTGGGGTAGGGATGCAGAGGCTTGTTGGGGCTTGGGCTCCGATGTCTGGGGGTCTGTGAAGGCCTGCCCCACAGCTGGGCAGGAAGCCGAGCTGCTGAGCACAGACCACCAGAAGACCGCCAGAGCGCAGACAGGACAGCACATCTGTGGACAGAGTGCTCCAGAGAAAGCAGCTCCTGCGGCCGGCGCTCTGGCAAAAAGAACCCGGCATCTGTCCACCGCCCCAACAGGGGCAGCCAGGGCTCCAAGGTCGCCTCCCGGCCTGGCTCTCTGCAGCCCTTCAATGGGCTCCGAAACCATGAAACACTGTCTAGGGGGCATGGGCTTAGGATCAGGGCTGGCCTACCACCCCCAGGGCTCCCCAGAACTACTGAGCACACATGGCCAGGACTGCAAGAGAACCTGTTCCAGGGCCAAGCAGGGGGCCAGCCTGGCCCAGATGGACCCGGTCCCTGGGGAGTCCTGCTCAGGGATTCCCCTCTGCCCCAGGAGTGGAGCTGAGCATGGGCTGCGACCAACTGTAGGGGGCGACCCTTCCCGAGTTTCCGCAGCTCTGCCCTGAGACCCTAAGGATCAGGGCTGGACACCTCTGATGTGGGACGGAGAACGCAAAGTTTGGTGAGGAAAGTCCGCCGGCCTCGTGAACAGCCTCTGGCTGGTCCGGCCGCCAGCTCTCCCTTGGCACCGGACACCCGGCCCACCCTTCGGCCGAGCAGGCAGCAACGCCCTTGGGTATTGTGCTTGCTTCTCCCTCTCCCGGGCCCCCAACTAACGGCATTCGTCGCCCTGCCCGTGCATTCCACAGGCCAAGCCGGGAAGTTCAGCCAGCGCGGAGGAGGCGGGCAAAGGCGCCGCAGTGACAGGCGCCCGGCAATGCGCGCCCGGGCCGCCCGCTGCCCAAATCCGGGCGCCCTTACCTGCGCGGCTCGGAAGCGGCGCCCACAGCAGGAGCAGCAACAGCAGCAGGGGCGGAGGGCGG